TAGGCATTACAAACTTCGGCTGCGATGACCGATACCCAGAACAAGGATGCGCACAAGCAAAGGTGCAGACAAGCAGCCCAATGGCGACGTCTTCTGGAAAACTTGGAATACGACCAGCTGGCTTCGTGCTTGCCAATGCACCAAGAGGTCAGTCGCTCTCTTCTTGACAAAGCCGGGTTGGTCAGAATGGCCATCAGCTACCTCAGACTTCACAGATTCATAAACGACGGGCTTCCCAGTTGGGAGGTCGTCGCCAGCGACGGTGAGCGCAATCAGTACAATCGTGTAGGTTAGCAAAGTGATTATTTTCTTTTCTTGTTTTCAATATTTATTTTATGCGCCAATGTCGACGTCGCCCCGACGCTCAATGCCAAGCTTTATGGCACCGGACATAAAATACTAGAGGTAAGAAGCTTGAGTTTACAGTGCATTTAAGACTTTGTCCATGCAGGCAACGGACGGCTTCCTATTCTGCCTGTCCGAAAGCTTTCAGATCCTTTACGTTTCAGAAACCGTTAGCCTGGGTTTTGGTCTTTCTCAGGTAAAACCTTACTGGAAACCTTAAACTACCGAATTTTAACGAAAGTTTTCTTATAGATCGACTTGATCGGGACTTCACTTTTGCAGTATATTTATAAAGATGATGTGCAGGTTTTCTTGTCCCTTGCGAACCAATGTTGCCCTGACGCTGGACCCGGAATCGCGAAGGCAGTTTTGAGAATGTGGTCTACGCTTACTAGGAGAAATTGCAAAGAAAAGAGCGAACAACCAACAGGATATAAGGTGATAATGTATTTAAATGTTTATTAATGCAGCGCAATTGCAATTTACTAAGTTGAAATTGTTCATCGATATCATCCTATCGTCTGCTTTTCCAACACAGCTGTAAGCTACATTATATCTGCCATCTGACTCTGGATGATGAAGAATTAACAGTCATAGATATTCGTTATCGATTATGTAAACTCAATTTAGCCTATGTAGATAATTACTTGATTCATAGTTGAGGACACCAAACGTAGGCACGTAAAAATGGTCAAAAGTATTGCTTGTTAACGTGTTTCGCTGTCATGCTGATAGTTATCAAGATGTAACCGATACGGAGGACAGCGAACCGCTTTGTTGTAAACAAAGGCAATGATGATCTGATGATGATGTTGCAAGCAATGTAAATCATGGTGGTAGATGTGAGTCACCCGTGGAATCGGTTCGAAAGTTCTTGTTAAGTTTGTGATGGCTACTAAGCTGTAACTCATAGCAGCGGAAATAACGTATTAGTTGCACACTGGATGTTTTCGTGCCATAATGAGACGAAACTCGCCTATGAGGTACGAAGTCTTGAGTGATCTCTGCCGATTACAGACATGCCAGCTTCACTAATGGAGAGTCATTTGGAAATGCATTTCTTAGTTCCTTGAATATGGAACATCATGCTCAAATACCATGGGTTCAAAGCCTGTTTAAGCGTCCCCCACACTAGGCAAGTGGGATCGAGAAGAAGATGCAATGCGCTTTGGAATGTGGTCTTGGAGCAGTCATTTGTTACTACTGTTACTCATATGATACACTTTACAAGTAAAACTTGCAAACAGATGTTATACAGCTGGAGGCATCATCCACGAGCATCGCAATCCCACTGTTATTTCCATCGTTCATACTTACACTGGTGGTGTTTGTTGATTAACTATTGGGGACTGCAGAGTAAATGGCCAGAGTTTATGAGCGGCGATCAGCTGAACGTCATCTGATGGAACCTTGTAGTCTGCAACGTGACGTGTATTTTCTTATTTTAGGACACAACACTTTGCAAACGGAAAGTGAGGAAGAGACTGACTCTCTCTTTGAAATGCGGTCATCAATATACATCGAACAATATCATCCAAAGGCACGAATTTCTGTAGGACAATACCGTATCCTGAGGTTGGGATGATAAAGGGGCTAAATTCCATGCCTGAATTTTTTTATAGTAAGTGTAAGTAATAAGCTGACCTCAATGCTCTCTACCAAGCAAATCTTTTCAAATTAAAACGGTCGTGTCTTCCTTTCTTGTTCATTAGCGAAGTTTCTTCCTGTGTCCGTAAACTGGAAAATGATCATTAGTGAATAGATGCATAGCTGTTATGCAAAGACTGATACAACGACTTTCCGAGGATGAGGAAGAATGCAACGGGTAAGTTTATAGTCGCTGAAATGTCGTCATGGCTCTTTAGTTCCTTGTGGGCTCAACTCGTTCCAATTTTATCCTGTTTGATAATCACAGTTTTCACGCCATCAACCAGCAATGCATTGTAGGAAGGAAACATAACCAGCATGTATAGAAGATGGTCTTGGAATGCGGTCTTCTATTTGTTTCTCATTCATGCAGGATGGTACTTTCCAACATTTCAAAAATAAGTTTTAAAAGTCAAAAGATTTCATCAAATAAATTTTTTAAATAGCTAAAACAACTGGCTAAACAAATAACAAATGGCAAAATGGCAAAATACATGCTTACTTCAATGTCCAAAATTTAACCTTACAATTTTAGGTTGTTGAAATTTATATATCGAGAAGAGTGAGACGTGCTGCTAACGATGAAGCGAGTAAACGAATACTTGGCTTTGTTGGACAAGCAATCCCGGTGATTCTGAACTCACCGCACAGCTTGTTAATTGATTCCTGGTCCTTCGTGTTCTCCACCGATTTGAATTTCAGAATCACCTACTATGACAGCAGGTCAGAAGTGAAATCAATAATATTTTGCTTCTATGATTTTAGAAAACTTAAAAATGTTCTTCTTCATAACTTTGCCATGAACTTCTGCATCGACAGCTCCCCGGAACATCGGGATTCCATTTTGTCAAACCTCTGTTTTCTTCGGTTGTCATGAATCTTTACCCAACTTACTTCTTCAGCTCACCCTGCCATCGTTCTGGAAATCTTCCTACTGGTGTTTCTTTTCCCTGTTATTTCCAACGTACCGTTTTCTATGTTGCGTTGATTCATCTGCAGTCTAGCAACAGCATCAGGCTTAGGGTACGTTTCGTATGCACAGATCAGCACTGACTGAATATTTGCGGAATGAATTCAAGCACCAACGCTTTCAATCTTCCAAAAGTGCTCCTTGCTATTTTTTACTCTTCTGTTAAATTCGTACAGTCGGTCTTCCAGATGGACGCAGTTTTGCATATGTTTAAGCCTCAGTCCCATCACTTGAAAATGAAAAGATCACAAGGTCATGTATTATAATTGTGCTTATTAAAAGTACTGTATACCTGGTGGCGTTTTGAATGATTTCAGACTGTCTGTAGGAGACTTGAAGTTATTTCTTTGGAGTGACCGTAAAGCGAGTCAGAAAAAATCATATTTTCAATCATTTTGAAATTCGTGAAAAGACAATTAAGCATTCGCATGTCGTACGTTTCTGCATTTTACAACATGCTACTTGCAGATGTAAGCGTAAATTGGCGTATTTTCAGGTCACAGAACTTATTCCTCAATTCTTTGACCGCCTCAAAAACTGTTGTCAGTTTCTATGGCTTATTACACCCTGAGGACAGCAGAAAGGTTGGCGTGTTTCATCGTGAAAGTAAATTCGCTTGCATGCATAAACTATTTTCCCATAAATCCTGTTCCAGTTCTTAGGCTAGGTGAGTCAAGCTGCGACTGTTTTCGCCTCGTGCTGTCGAATCTCTGCAGCTGTTGCGTTCATGCCGTCGGTATACAGGTTCGCAAGACGAGAAGCAACAAGCGAAGCGACGGCTCGATCATCATCGTCTGTCACATTGTTGGTTTGTCACACACCGAAGTCCCCGATGCAGAACTGTGATTGTCAGGTATAGAGGACGGAGGAAAATTGGACGGATAATCGTACTTGTCGCTACTCATCTGTTTTTTATGTATATGGTCATCTCAGCAAAAATGAATACACGTCAAATCTCTCAGAAACAGTCTTTTTATAATAGTTATGGATAGAAGTGTCAGTTCGTTGTCTGCGTGAATATCAGTGATGTTAATGGTGTTCGGTTCCCGATCCGTGGTTCAAGACAACAGTTGAAAAACACAATGCAAGATATTTTATTTAACAGCGCGTTTCTTCACCATTATCATACTTATAGTGCACAATTAAGAATCGTGTTCTGCAACAGACTCAAAGTTCAAGCGTTATTTAAGACGGCATTGACCGCATAAAATCGCTAAAATAATTTTCTGCTCTGTCGATATGTACATAAATCGTTTCCAAGCGAAGCATCTCAGGTTTATTTAGAATTGTGCAACATCGTCCAGATTTGCAACTGCCCTCGTGTAACTCCGCCTCTTATTCCGGCAATATTTCTTATCAGAAAGAATTTACTGACGAAGACAGCAGGATCGCTGGTTGAGCGCTTTTTCATTCTTCGGATCGATATATTTAACCTTGCTAATAGGTGTATATGTCAGGTCAAATAAGAAGAAATAGCATTTTCTATTCGCGCATCTTCAGTAGCCATTGTTTCTCCCATTTATATGAAAAGTCCTACGAACTCACCTCCATCGAATTCAGTACCCTGGTGAAGTAATGGTCCACAAGTGGTACAGGAGTCTATTGCAGCAGGTTGAGAAAAAGATGTTGTCCTCACTTGCCAATGATCTGTCCACTACCATGACCAAGACCTCACAAAGGGCTCTGAATCTGTTGGACTGGATGAAGGTCTGAGAGACGTTCGTAATGGTTAACCAGGATGGGCAACAGAAACAGAATGCCGAAGAAAAGGCATTCTAGAGCAAAAAAATTGAAGAAACGCAGCCATTCGTCCCTGATGCTCAAGCAATATGGGCAATCAGATGAAGGATATGGGATAGAGTCCTATCAAAAAGGCTCAATGACTGTTTTTGAGGTCCTTTAAACTCGTATCGATACTCCTCCCGCTGTAATTAATGCACTTATTTCTCCTCGATTTAATGCACGAGACACAGATGCGATGTTAGTGTGACGGTCTCGTGGTACCATCTGACCTGCGTGTGGTGTCTTCACAAGTTAACGTCTCCATTTATGGCCAGAACTATGACACGTTGGTCAATTAAAGCTAGGGTAGTCGCCTTTCCTGCTGAAGTAATTTCCGAGTTTCATCATTTTACACATTTGATGCTGTTGGTACAGCCAGAAAGAAGCTACCGATGTCTCTGAAGCTGATTGGCTCACTGACGAGGACGACTAGGAAAGAACAATCCTGGCCGCGTCAGATTCTCTGAAAGTATCACGTGATCCCCTGTGTACCAACGGTACTGTATGGGCAATGTGTACCTCGGTCGTTTGCCGATAACGTGCTTGTAATGTAATCGGATATGTCGTCACACCAGTTTTTAAGCGACACATGTCAATGATCAAAATCTGTAACATTCTTATCCTATCGTAGACAACAGAAAATATCATGTAATGACAATTCTTCCACTTACTAAGTATGAAAAAACTGGGCTGCCGATAACAGTCGTTAATAAACAATGCAGTAGCAAAACAAATAACAATTCGGTTTTGGGCACGTATGGTTCGAACCAGCGCTTCTTAAAATTTTCACATTAGCGGTCAATTCGCTCTTAGACCTAACCTACTCGCATACCCCAAGCCTGAAAGCTATCCATAAACTGCAGACTCCGAACTGCATAATGGAAATATGTATGGTTGGCATAACAAAAAAAATCTTAAGGCAAACGAATTTAAAAAGCACAAACAAAAGTTTATGGAGTCATTCCTTGAATGAAAAGCTAAAGAAATAATGAACAAAACAAGTTGGAAGAAGAACCAACCGTCGCCATGTCACAGACATGTAAAAGTGGAATCAAAAATGAAGCAAACGGTCAGAATGGGCTGAAGAAGTTAGCTGGATCGAGATTAACAAGAATTTCAGCAAATCGAATTTGATGGTAAAGTCTTCAAGAGGCCTTCACTCAGCGGTCGATCGAAAAATGCTTATGGTGATAATGATGCTGATTCGACTTTGTGCTAAATTCGGTACAAGTGCAACCAATCGAAAATCTGGTAGCAAGTGTTTGACTTGCAAACGTGGTGATCTGATGTTGTCAGGCCAGACCGGAACAGAGATACGACTAAGCAGTCTCATACACGTGCCTAAGGGCTGCAAGTCGAATCAGCCCACCGAATAATTGGCGAAAAATCGATCCGATAAGCAGACTAGTAAGCCACAATCAATCAATTTAACGAGTGAGGGAAAAAGTGAAGTGCAGACCTGCGTTTGAACCTGAAGATCAGCTCCGTCCTTTTCGTAATGCTGCGGTACTATTGAGCCTAAACTTAGACAATGCTTTGTACTTAAACGGTATTGCAAAGAAATCTTTCAACATGGATAAAAAAAATTTGCCCACATCAAGTAGCGAATAAAGGCTGCAAGGATGAAAAAAATTTCAAAACCATATACAGGACTAAGAATAGAACTCTGCTAAGACAAAGCATTGTACATCGATCGCATTATAAAAAAATGCCAGATGTTTTTACTGCTATTTTCCAACCTTTGTGAGTGCTCTTACAGCCATTAGCTTGAACTGCTAATGGTACAAACAAACGAGGCCTTCACGCTGAACGAAAAAAGAAGAATGGCGCATCACATCGGGAGTTTTTGGAAACCTGTGCAGTGATTGAAATTGAGAGAAAAACAAAGCGTTTTCCTGCAGAAGTGTACTTGCATATTGCTTTCAGGCCATTATTGTTATACGCAGAGAAATAGTTGTTCCATAGAACTACAAAGAGCGACAATTGAGCTGCAAACATTAGCATCGATCTGGACCCTCATCAAGCGTTAAATGGCAGGACTACGTGAGCAGTGGTGCTATAATATTCTGGACTCAGGTATCCTCAGTATATAAGTTGATTAAAAAAAGGAGGTTGAAAATTAGGGAAAAACTGGTTGAGCACAAGTTATTTACTCCAGCTAGCGAACATTTCGTTTCGGACAAATATCGGCTGGGAAACAAGCATGCACACGGAGAAACAAGGCATGGAAAGACCTCTCTGAGAAGAACTTGTTCCTTTTTCGAAGCAGTAACCGATGACTTATAGCGAAAGTGCTGTAAAGTTGCAGATACAACGGATATCAGCAACCAAAAGCATCACTTCAATACATATTCTATCTGTTTATGCACAATCTGTTGTGTGGGGAGACGTAGAACGTCGTTATCCCGCACCTTTTTTATTTTATGTCAGACCGAAATTCCTTTTTCACACTTCTTCATCCCATACGTGGAAGTATTCTAAAGTACTGCGTTAGATTGACTAATTCAGCGACAAACGATCTGTGGCATAAGATCAGTTGCTGTCTGCACTGCTTTATTGCGTTAATAAATTCGTAACGAATGACGTAATAGATAATCTTATGATAAATCGTTTGGTTACGTATGTGCAAGCGGTAGTCTTTCGTGCATGTCTTAACTAATCACAAAGCAAATGCATTGCTGATTCATGAACCTGTCCCACGAAGGAGGATTTCACTGGTTGGACGAACGGCGACCATCATCGCCTACTAATGTAAAATAAACAAAACTATCGATTTCCAATGACATCATTTTATACAATGATTTCGCTTAAAGTAAATATTTGCATTTCATACACGGATTACGTCATAGACTGATCAAACATTGAATATAAGAAATGAATGACGTAATTATTTCTTAACTCGTTCAAAGAGTTTTTAAAAAGTTATTTTTGGAAAGCGAAATATTTTTGGAGATTAGACTTGTCCCAAATCGTCTTCGCAACGCAAGAACACGTCAGATGAAGGGTGAATCGAGGACGTCAAAAGACAATCTATGCATTATAACAGTCCGTAGATCTTCGTGAGTTGAAGATTTTCCAACTACTTCCTGTTACTTTTCAGTCAAATAGCTGACAATCAGGTTTCCCTGAATGATGGACTGTTGGTTTTATGAGTTACACCAAAATTTCTTTGGGATATTTAGCAAATTTCAGGCGATTGTCGACTATCGAATAGATAGCGGATCCACTGATGGATTCACATGCTCTGATCTGATTAGTTTTTATGTAGTACCAATAGCGGGTAATGATAATACAGCGAGCTTTTAGAGATCATTCCATCGAATGACCGTCGAAGGTTTTGATTAAGTTTTGTTTGTCAATCTGATCGGCCTAGGTTTATGCGGTTCCTTTTTAATTACTGGCGTGTGATAGAGTCCTGTTGTAAATGTTCCTCAGGTTTGTGGCTTTTAATCTGTTTGTCATGAAAACAATTGGAGTTAAGCTCTATGTCACATTCAGCCATGCTTTCCGGATCATTGAGGTACGCAGGTCCTCCAGTCATATCAAGATGGCATTCAGTGAACGTTCTTAGTATAGTATTAAACTTTTTGAGTAACGCAAATCAGCTTGAGATAGTTATGCAGCTAGGATCTACTGACAGATGAGTAAATGTTTACGCTTACTGGCATATTTGGGGACTCAAGCTCAGATTCTGCAGTGAACATTCTAATCGCTTAAGTATAAAGTGCATCTTTCGAAACACTTTCAACCGGAAGGAAGAACTAGTTTGAATTGAAACAGTAGATAAATTACTGAAACAAAATGTTTTCGTTCATATATATAATTTATGGATAAAACAAATTTAACAGGATTGACGAGTGCGCCACAATTCTCTAATCCGAAACAACAATCTCTGCGATCCTGTATCTTACGGTGGTAAACCACATGCAGGAAAGGCCAAGTTTGGTGTTATTGTCTACCGTTGGGATGACCGGAATTTTTGAAACCTGATTCGAGGGTAAGGCTCAAAGACGCGACGGATGCATTTATGTCAAGTTGCACAATCGCAAAATACATTGCAAAAACTATTGCCCTGTCTCATTTCAAACTTCTACAGAAAACACAACATCTACTTTAATCAGTACTAAGGATATCGTCAGTAAAAACGAATCAACTGTATTCCACTTACTGGTTTCATATGCACCGGTAATATGCCATTCTATAAGTGAACAGATCAGATGGTCAATACGTAATGCACATTTTTTCCCGATTGCGTCGCTGCACAGTGGAGAGAATTTTCGGTGAAATGAATCAGAGAATGATACTTTGGGGGGGGGGAACGTCCTGGAATATGTTTTTGAAATTTAAGAAAACGGAACAGGCAATATATCCCATCAATTTACAGTTGAAATAACCTTTTTCCAAAAGCACTAACAGTGATTATGTCCATTTATTTGCTTCAATAATAGGATAAAAATTGTTCTTTTCGGCTACAGCTAAGTATCTCTTCAGGCAAATCTTTCGGTAAAAGGGTTATCACTGTGTTGGTGGTTTGATCAT